GGGAAAGAGGCAGCATCCAAAAGAATTCCTGGGGCTTTGTAGGAAAATCCTGATGCCTTAAACTCTGTCAGGAAAAACAAGCAGTGATCACAGGTCTTGGACCACACATCAGAAATATCTTTGTGAAGTGAGTTGCTGCATTTTGTTCTGACGGTGGTCCTCCACGGCTGAGGCATAATTTTTTGGTGTATCTCCTGAAGCAGTTGAAGTGCCCCCCTCCTTCAGAGAAATCCAGTCTTCCGTCACACACAACTCCTGCCAGATCAGCTTCCTTTCAGACTGAATATAACTAAGCTCAGGAACTCTGGGCTCATTTCAAGGCTTGTTATATATATTTATAGTATCGGGATCTTGTCTATATGTATTAAGACTCTGTAAAAAATCAGGAGCACAGGTAGATAATCTGCTGCATGTGAAGTTCTCAATGCAAGGATGTGAGTCAAAGGGTCAATGCCCTGAAGGAGATCCACTGAACGACATCATGTAAAATGATGCTGCCTGTCTATCGGCAGAGGTGCAGTTGCTACTGAAATACTGTTTAGTTCTGGGATCCACCATTAGCGAAGGGTGGCGGAAAGGGGTTCAAAGAAGAGCTAAAGGAGAGAAAGGGACATCTTTCAATGAGAGACTCATGCAGACCAATCTATTTAGCTTAACAAAGAGAAGGTTAAGGGGAGAGTTGGTTACAAATTTCCCCTCCCTGTAGAAACAGATAGAGGACTAGAAATTTGATAATATACGGCATTTCAGTCAAGTAGAAAACGGTCTGACAAGAACCAGTGAACTTTGAAAGGTAGACACATTTTAGCAGGTAAGGTAATTATTACAGCAATTTACCAAGGATTGTGGTGGATTCTCCATCACTAGACATTTTAAAGTTGACTATTTTCTCAAAGAAATGCTCTAGGTAGTCCTGTAAGCTGTGTAATATTGGAAAACAAATTAGATGATCACAGACAGTTTTTCCAGTTTTATGATCTATATATTAACCTACACCAAATAGCTAATGCATCGCAGCCTATGTCTTATCTTCTCCAAGTGTAGCCAGTAAGTGTGATTCAAACATTTTGCCCTTTATTTGCATTTGTTTAGGAAATTTACAATGAAGACATCATATATTTACTGTCTACATGTGACCTTCTGTCTGACATATGGATTTAAAGATTTTAAGGCTGGGGAACCGCTTATCATCATCTAGCCTGAACTCCTCTGGCACAGGACATAGAATTTCACCCCACCGTTTCTGCACTACACCAGGAGCTGACATATAAATGAAGGCAGCCTTTTTCAAAAGACATGTGGGTTACAATTCACCACAGAGGCATGTGGGGGAAAGCAGAATGCCCCGTTCCTTGTCTGCGTCAGTGGAATATGAACACCTAATTTTTCCAGGCTCTTTCGTAAATTCTACCCCAACCCCAATTTAAAGAGTGAGGTTCTGCCACCACTGAAGTCACTGGACACTTTGGTTTGGATTTCAGTGAATTCCAGTAGAAGAGCCAAAGTTATGCTGCATTTGCCACACTGAAAAATCTAGAAGTTCAATTAATAATTTTCTACAGATTTTGTTATGCAAAATTAAATGTAAAATAAGATGCCACCGGATCTTTCTAACCCACAGCCTTTCTATTCCTAACCACCTTTCACTTCTGTGTATGAAATAAGAAGCAAAAATCAACTATAAGATAAGAGGCACAAAATCTTTTGTTTCAACACTTCTCAGAGATCTTCCCAGCCACTCCCATCAAACACTACTGTTTAAATCAGACAGAGTGTCTATCTGCGATCAACGCACAGTACAAACGTTACTTGCCCTAGAAAATTATTTCTCACAAGGAAAAGGAGAACCCTACGAATATCTCGATGGTAAGTCATGGAGACCAACTATACAGAGAACTGTGAATTCACATTACCTACAACTGTAGCTCTGGGCAGTTACGTATAACTCACATGAAGCCATTACAGCAGACATATCTATGCAAAAGAGTCAAGGTAGGGGAGGGAATATCTTTTATTACAGCTGGAAAAATAAATGTAACAGTTTTTCAAATTGGAGTTTACCCCTTTTGGCACTTTGTCTGTCACATCTTTGAACTATCATGGCTACAATGCTACTGCTATTTCTTGTATAACCGGTATTGTTTTTATAACTGATTTTATATACAGCACAAAGTACTTGAAAGAAAACAAAAGTAAAAATCGTACATCATAAAACAGACTCTTTAAACCAAAGATGAGAAAAAAAATTGTTAAATCTCCTCGCTTTTTTCTTTTTATAAAATGAAATGAGTTATGTGTTTTTAGAAGTAATGCCCTCTCCCTCCACGTTAGGCTGGGAAGTTCAGACGTTGTAAAAATAGCAATAAAAAGTTAAAATAATCTGATCAATCCACAAGCTGAACTATTCATGTCGTCACTTTCTTCACAGAAGATTTCCCTGTATGAATTTTATCTGTGATCAAGCTGAATCTATTTGCTATAATCATCCAGAGATTGTACCATCATCTTTCTGAAGAAAGGTCAACTCATAATCACTTCTCTTAATTTCACATCACACCCTGGAAATGTGCTGTAAGAAGCTAAAATATAATGGAGACAATTCAAAAAAATCTTTAATTATAGCCAGAAAAAAAAAGTAAGGGAAGAAAAGAGTGTCACAATCTTTTTCTGTGCAAGTCAGATGGCAATGACACTGGAACAGAAAATAAAAATATTCCCCTCTCCCACATTCCTTTCTGAAGACTAAAACTCAGAAATCACTCATTTACTAAATGACTTTGATGTACAGCTACACTTAGGCTAGAGTGTTAAACACCTGAATGAGACTCCGTTTACACAGGCTAAGAATGATTCAGATACTGAGAATTTATCCTTACTGATCTGAATAACGTTTATGTGCATTAACAGCAGAGATTAGTCAGTCAGCTTTATGTGAGTGTTCATGTGGCAAAATGAGCAATAAATGGCAATGCATTGTGAAGCATCAGAGATTTTTGGAGGGTGAGGGAGAAGGAGGGAAAATTACTGCTATCTACGGTGCAATTTAACAGGTAACAGCAACTTTGGAAGAATAAAGAAGTACCCGGACTCTCATATGTTTGCAATATTGGGTCAGTTAGGTGACTACCCAGTGATCCTATAGATCACTGTACTAATGGGACAGTTGCTGCTTTCAACATGACATCTTGGGTATTTTGTGCAGGACATCCACAATGGCTTTTTAAAAATTTGTCTAGATGATTTTTTTTCCTAGTAATCACTAAATATTTATTTAAGAAATTTTGCTAATAACAAGGAACAACCATCCCTTTGAGAATAGTGTTCAATGTAGTGGATGTGGTCTGGAGCCTCAAGATAAACTCACACAGAACTCCTAAATTGGGGAAAAAGATCACCCACTCAGGGTAATACTGGTAAATCGCTTCTACATTGGAAACTGGCAGTGCTAACAATTTACCATGCTTTTAAAGACATTTTTTGATATGAGAATTCTGCAATCAAACCCTCCCATTACCAACTTGCTCCAGTTTCTGATGTGAAACACCATTACTAGATATACCTGCGCTTTAGGTTTACAGATACCATGTGAGAGATGAATCGGGGATAAGTGGTTTGCCTATTCTAAGACCTCCATCCTCGCTATCCTGCCTACTTCAGGAACTGGATTGCTGCTAGCAAATATGCATAAATATCACTTACCATACAGTGAAATTTCTCAGGGGAATGCTATGCCTGCCTGCCTTACACAAGCTCTGAAAAAGCATGTTGAAATTGAACAGCAGTAAAACGTAAAAATCACCACCACATTTAGCTCGCACCTTAAGTCTATACACTGGGCCAAATCTAAGGGCATGTCTACAAGGCAGTCACTGAGGCCTCAGGATGACCAAACCGACCTGCTATTAGCAGCAGCTTCTAGCCATGACAGAGCCCAGAGCAGGCTAATTTACCCTGTTTTTTCATGGTGAGACTCTTGACAGGGGATGCATGACAGAGCAATATGTGACACCTTTCCAGATAGCTAAAATGGCATATTGCCAAAAATATTTGCAGAGATATTGCTGTGAAATAGGAAGACTTTAATGAGTGGGCAGCATAAAACCGGGCCACTTTATTCCTGAGTTTTGTATTATTGATGCAAGCCTCAGCAAGAGACAGGTGTAATGAGTCTGAAGCTGAATAGCCACGTGGAGTATTCCTCTCCTGCAGTTTCTGAACTGAACAATGCAGAAAAACAAGGATGAACCTTTCTCTAGGCTATGCCTAAACAGACAGGCAGGATGCACACCACCACCCATGACCTGCTGGAAAACGCACTACAGAGCAGGCAGGCACCAGTTGTCATCGTCTTGGAGCAGGCAAACCTGGGGACACCGTCTCTGCCAGAGCGGAGGCAGACTTTCATGCCCGTTCTCAAGGCAGGTAAAGTGTTATCACAGCATTCTTCAACCTGAAGATCACACCCCCTGCAGATCAGGCAAATCTGGAAAGATACAGAAGAAAAGAGCAAAACAGCAGAGCTGCAAGAACAAATCTGTTTTGTGGTTTACTGCCTGGTACATGCAGAGCTGGTGCCACAGGCAAAGAAGCTGGTGAAAGCTTTCCCATCTTGTCCCCAAACAGTCCTTAGCGCCACAAGAGCAGCTCTCCCTAAGACTGTGGGTAGCATCCTGCCATTGCATGCATCTTCCTTCCCTTCCCCTTATCTTAGCTCAGGTGCCACACTACCACTTTTCTCTACTTTTCAGTACACTCCCAAATACTTGTTTTGTAAATAATGGCAGATAAATACAGTTATATTTAACTGCAGAGGTGATTACATTAGAAGCTCAAACTGAAAAGTGAAAAACTCCTTCAAAAGCTTCAGTTAGCCTGTTTTGTAGATATCCATTCTCAAGCCAATGGCTTCATTTAAAGAGACAGTTTCCTTGCGACAATAATGCTCTCATGTAGTAGGGCATATCCTTTTAAAACTTAGACACAAGTTGAAGCATTTCTCGCACTACTAAAATAAAAATACATTCACAGGATTTAAGAAGAAAGAGGCCAATTTCTCATCTAATCCATTGTTCTGTATAACATAGGTCACATAATTTCATCTAGTTTCCTAGTAACCTGTAATTCTCTTAAGTATATGCTTAGCAAGACTGGCATTCTCAAGTATGAAAAAAATACTCCTCTGGTCACATGTGAGTCGGGGCTTTAAGGAGATGGGTTTAGCCTCTACCTGTAACTAATCAGCTGTCTCCCAGCTGATGAGATAAGGCTAACAAGCAGCTTACTTAGGGGAGGGAGCGTGCTACAGCTAAAGAGACTGGGTCATGTTAAGAATAAGGCCCTGTTATGCAAAAATGGGTGATCTGCCTGCTAGCTAGGTGGTGATGGAAAGCTGTAAGGAGTCAAGTGATAAGATTTAGCTTACCCGATGTTGAATTATGCTTGTGATTGATTCAGTCCCTCCCGGAAGGGTCTCGGAAAATGTAAGCGGTATTCAGTTCAGCTCTCTAGCCTTCCATCCTACTCAAGGGAAAAGAGAGAGCTGAGGAGGTTCTCACGGAGTGGAAAATACTCAGCTGACAACAAGATTATTCTACCACAGAAATCCTTACTAACCTATGAGAGATATTTAATTTGATTGTGGTATGTTTCCATTATCTTTTAACAGCAACTGATGTCACTTCGTATAGTGTTTTATCTATCTTTTCCGTCCTTGAGTTATGTTGCAACTGTAAACTTTAATAAGGAACATAAAGCATTTACCAATATGCAACCTAAAATTATGTATAGGATGGTCAATATCTAAAATTAGGGAGAACATTAACCTTTTCTGTAAGAGTTCTAGTTCACTAGTGAAAGTATCTGCAGTGTTAGAGACTTCAAATCTTGCTGGAGTCTGCCTTAAAGCAGACTTGCAGTACCAGGTGCTGTACACAAATTGGTTTGGTAGCTCCCTCCAACCAAGTTCTTACCATCTGTCATTGCAGTGCTTAAATGGGTCTCTTAATCCTGCCATATGAATGCCGAAATCTATACAGAGGCTTATACAGACTCACTCCCTCACTTTGTAGTTTAGGCAAAGATCCAGAAAAAAGGATCTGGGTATTCAGGGTACAAATCAGGCAGAACACAGAAGCCACAAAACCGCTCTGGCATGTCTTGCTTTTATTTACCATCAAACCCCTTCTATGGTGTATATATATGTTTAGTGCTGTGGTTCTCTTCCAGTTAGTTAAAAGATAAACAGCTCCTAAAGGCCAGTTTTTCCCTGTGAAACAGTCCCTGCACTACACTAGATGGCACTGCTTAATACACGCATTTTATTCATGTCTGCTATGTAGGGTCCCTCGATCTGGAGCATCCTATAGCTGTTAATTTTTAATCAATGTTCTGTGGTCACTGGCAACAGGGTCACCTGCAGGAAGGTGTTCAAACCGGCCACGTAACAAAAAAGTAATAATGTTCATTAGAAACTTGTGGTAAGTTCACTCCTTTACCCTAATACAGGTAAAGCAGAGCTTGTTAGTGATTATACTCTTAATATAAGACTGTTCAGTTCTGATGTTATCTTTGACTGTTCTTAGCACACCCAGTCTTACCTCTTTCATGACTGGAGTAAAGGGCATTGGCAGAATTGCTACAGATATCAGTCACCATACAAAGCAAGAAATATGAATGATAGCACAGCTTTTAGGTACTGATCAATAAGTACAGAGGGAAGACATGCTACAGAGTAACATATCTCTTTACTTTTATCAATATCCTATAGATCTGGCAGTAAACAACTGAGACTTCTGCCTTCAGAATAATATTCAGCTAATTGTGAAGCTTTATTCTTGCAGGGTGGGGGTCCTGATCAAACTTTGGGACTACAGCTGAGCTCTTAATATCTGTCTTGAGTATTAGGGCAGTATTCCTAATCAGATGCCAAACCTATGTTCTGCCCATTACTCATTAATAAATTGCTAAATATATGTCAACCTGAAAGTATAGAGTCCTACCAGAGAGCTCTTCAGTATTTTGTGACCTCTTGGGCGTATGGTATCTGCTTACACAAGTCATACATCACATTCTATTACCAGTGCATAGCTTTTGCATGACTTTTGTTTCAAAATATGTTATAAAGCAGCCATTAGCACGAGAACCCATCTCAACCAAGAATAAGGAGAGATCTAACTATTCTTAACCTAACTTAGATGTTTCGAATCAGCTGGGCCTAGAATACTTGAAATAATTGACTAAAACCGTTTTAGCATACCATGGAGATTTCTGAGGATGGGTGAGGTCCTGGGAAAAGGCAAATGGAATCTCTCTCTCAGAAAAATGGGAAAAGCAGAGAAGCTGGTAGTTGTTGATTGGCCAGCCTAATGTCAGTTCCTAGAAAGAATAAAAATAAAAACAGTTGTAAGTACATGGGGAAATCACAAGGAAATTAATTAACAGCCACTGTTGGTTAGTCAAGGAGAAGGTGGCAGATCAGCTCATTCCCTCTGACAACGAAATAGGCCTTTTAGCTGGGGTGAAGCATTAGGAGACATCTTGACTGTTTTAATGCCGATCCATTTGGTCCCTTAGGCAATGGAAGGGTGAATTACACATGCAGATGAGTCAGGGTGGGAGGAACTACAAGCGCACCAAACGGTTAGATTAGAATTTAAAAGATCTGGAAATTGGTTTAAAAATACTGGATGGGATTTAATAAAGAAAAATAAAACAATACATTGGCTAGTTGATTATTCCTGTCCCATACAGGATGAAAAACAAGTGGTTAGGTAGCATTTTTTTCAGAAAAGCATCTTGGGAGTATAGCTAAACATATATCATAACTGTGCTGTGCTAACACTCCCCCCAGATCTCCTAGAAGTGAGAGATATAAACCGGAATATATATTGCAAGATACATGGAGAGATCCTTTTCGATCCATCATTGATCCAGTCTCAGCTGGAGTACTGTGGCTGCTTTTGGATATTACGCTTCAAGATCAGTATAACACAGAAAGCGTCCAGAAGAAATGATATGTTCTCACTAATAAAGACCACAATCTACAAAGAAAAGATAAAAAATTATGACGTTATTTAGATTTAAAAAAAAAAATCTGGGAGTGGGAGAAAAGGAACAATCACAGTTTTCAAGTACATAAAGACTGTTTCAGAGAGGAAAAGAATATTGCTGGACTTGGTAAGCTGAGAAGACTAAGGCACATTTTTAAGACCACAGCCTTGAATTTTCTTGCTCTTGAAACCAGATTCTTTCTTATTCTGTCCTTAAAGTTAGGCTGAATTGCCCACCTGAAATAAAAATCATGGATGTGGCTACACTTCTAATGCTTCCCCACTAAAATGTTATACAGTTTTCTTTTCTTACACATGTAATCCATATTATGAAGCAAGGTGAAAGGAGGAAAACTTCTAGAAAGAATTAGGTTAGGTAAATAACAAATACTTTCAATAAAGTCATTTGCATTTTTTCCCTTGCAATGGCTCGGTAAGTACTGTGCATAAAATAAATCTTTAGCATGATTACAAATCAGGTCCTACACTAAGTTTCTAAGCGAAGGCCTAACTACCCTAGAGCTTTCTGGAATTCTACATCCAGACCTAAGTCTGAAATCAAGGGCAGGAGCCTCCAGGGGTTATCACTGCTATGGGGTGCTCTGGGCAGCCAAGGAGACTGCAAAAGGAGAGCCTGGGAACCACGTGGCTGACCCCAAGACAAATGAAAAATAGCCTTTTTCTGAAGCTAGAACAACCCAGCTGTCCCAAACAGCTAAATTAGGAAAGCAAGTATTATCATGAGGTTTACTATGCTATATAATCTTGCTGTATTAGTATTTACTCCTCCACTGAAAATATTTAGAGATCCAAGAGTTGAAAAAAGTTGAATAATCCTGATTTTGGACAAGGTCTGAGAGAAAGTATTAGCGGAGGATTGGATGACTCAAAACCTGAGCTGGATGCTCTTGAACAGCCAACGCTGAGATTATTGCTGGAAGCTTGAAGGATGTGGACAATGCGAAGCAGGGAATGGAGGGTAGCTGTGGTCAGTAAGCTGAGGGCTCCCTCCTCCAGGGACACTTCTCCTAACTGAGTCTGAGGTAAGACTGCCAAAATCTCTTTCACTCTTCCAAATCACCTTTTTGTTTGGGATCAAGTCCTGTGCTCTTGATCTCAGATGTTCGTCTACATCTCTCTGCATTTTTTGAGGATCCTCTGGTAATGTTTTCCTCAGAAACTTTGTATGGAAGTGCAAAGGTTAACCTCGGGGGGCCAACCTACAAACTATTAGAAAATGGGAATATTTGTTTCCAGGTAATCATTCAGCTCATCATATACTGCATGATACAACAAACAACCGTACAGATAGATCACTTGACTTAGACTTAGAAAGCTGTCTCAAAGCTTTGATTTGCCAAAAGAGTATCAGATTTCCATGAGGTACTTCATTTTGCCAAAATTAAAGTGCAACAAAAAACTTCAACATTCCTTAGTCAAAACATGGCAAAGGAGAAGAAATGGGAAGGCATTTCGATCATTAAGGCTGAAAAAACTGACTTCAGCATTTCGGTTTCAGCAAACAAAAAGACTTTTATGGGATTCAGCCTTTTTTTCTGAATAAAATGTTGATTTTTTTTTGCAACATATTAAACCTCAGTGATGGGATTAAAGTGACAAAAAGTTGGCCATGATTTGTTTTTATGAGAGTTTTGCATACTAGAAATATAGTAACAGATATAAGTGGATACTTTAGGAGTCTTGTGTTAGGAGAAGCTCAAATGTTCTGTTTTTAAATCTTAGTTCAGATGTCCAGCCTAGTCTCAAATGCACCACTGAAAAGAATATTTTTGCTGTATAAACATGGTTGGAGAGATGACCGAAACCTGCTAAATATTAATTTGAAACTCAGGCACAAATAAATTTTAACTATACATGCAATAAGTTTTATGGGTGGATTTAAAAATGTGTTTAAAGTGACATTAAGTACCACTTTATACAATAGCTTGAAACTTATAACTGGGGGCATCTGACAGTAGCAGGAAGGTACACTTTAGAGAGGAATGGAAAATATGCTAAGGAAATCATGTTTTCTTTAAAAGTCATTTTAAAAAGAAAACATTTTGCCTTTCATGCGTTGTCCTCTATTTCTGTATAGAAAGATGAATAAATTGTGGATAATGAGGAGGAACCTGAAAAGGGCACCCCATCAGTGTTTCAGATAGGTACTTTTTTTCTGCTGCTTACGCAGCACCTTGCTCACTGGCTTCTCAGGCTCCCGTACACAAGTGCCCCTGACTCAGTGCCAGCCCCGTAGGGGAGTCCTGAGCCAGGCTGAGAGGTGCCTGATGTGACAGGACAGCTGGGAGCTGGCCACCGCAAATGCCAAAGAGCCCTTGTGAAAACAACCTCACTCTTTCTCTAAATTCTGTTAGACAGTTACCACTTAAATACATTTTGAAAATCCATCTCTAAATGACTTACGCACATAAATACCATTGGAAATCAATGGCAATTTTTTTTGCCTAAGCGATTAAAGTACTTTCAAAAATCCTAAACACAGCTTTAGTCCACATACAGAAAGACATCACTCTCTTGCCCGATTTTCTTATGGCCTATTGTGCTATGATGAAACTTCTGCTTTTGCAGAGTTACTGCCATCCAACAAACTCACCCTAGGTAATTGCGTTGAAGAATGAATACTGTTTTCATTGAAACTCAGTGGAAACAGATTTAAACAGAAGAAGATTTAGCATTTTTTCTCGATATTGTGCTTCTGAAAAAGTGAATAGTTCAAGAACTACTTCCTGCTTACCTTGTAAAATGATCTTTCCTGTCTGCATGGAAGCTGCTATGCAGCAATGAAGCAAAATCAGATGGAAGAACTAGACATGGAGGTGCTGCAAACAGGCAATAGTTATTATTCTCAGAACCCCAAATTGGTTTCATCATATACAATCATATCACCAACTGGATATCAGAAATCTTTGATTCCATAATTTGAGCGCTTCTCTGAATTAGCACAAATGATGCAAAGCATTTCATAAAAATTATTTTAATGATTAAAGTATTATTGATATTGATTTTCAGGGCAAAGGTACATCTGTCTTATATACAAAACATCCAAAGTTTATTTTAATTATCTCATTTTGCAACTGAAAAATGATCCTGGCTGAGTAATGAGGTTATCTTACTCCTGTGCATTTCACATAAGCAGCTTGGATCCCATGTTCATACAGGAAATAAATTTTAAAGGCCTTCTAGCCACGTAAAGGAGAATTTTATGAGAAATCTGCTCATACTGTCACAGATTATGCAGAATATTTCCTACATGAAGCCCTTAAGATTTATGACTTTCTATGAATTCTGCAATTTATTTTGATATTTGATATTTTTTATACTGAACAGTATTGTTTTCTGCTTTTATTTTTTGGCCCCAGGACCTTAAATAAACACCTACGGAAATAAGTATGGGGTTTTTTTCCTTTTTCTCATTGCTTATCAACTTCCAAAATGGCTTTTCTAGAAAGTATAAACTCAAAATTCAAAGGTCAGTTTACAGAAAAAAGTTATTTGTTTTAAACGAGTAGTGATCAGTGGTACCAAGTCTAGTTGGAGGCCTGTAGCTAGTAGTGTCCCCCAGAGGTCAGTCCTGGGTCCAGTCTTGTTCAATATATTCATCAATGACCTGGAGGAAGGGACAGAGGGCACCCTCAGCAAGTTTGCTGATGATACTAAACTGGGGGGAGTGACTGACACACCAGGAGGCTGTGCTGCCATTCAGAGGGACCTGGGCAGGCTGGAGAGGTGGGCGGAGAGGAACCTCATGATATTCAACAAAGGCAAGTGCAGGATCCTGCACCTAGGGAGGAATAGCCCCATGCAGCAGGACAGGCTGGAGGCTGACCTGCTGGGAAGCAGCTCTGCAGAGAAGGACCTGGCATTCCT